ACACAGTGACAGATTGAATCATACAGGTTGACTTGCATTTCCTCACACTTTAGTAGGGCAATCTCCTCTGTAATTTGTCTAATATGGAATCACTTTCTTCCAAAAAAAATGTAAAGCTTAGGGGCTCTGACGGAAATGATGCTACATTTGTAGAACCAGGCATCTGCAGTTAAAGAGAGACAGTGTTTGCCATGATTTGTGAGGTTATTTTTATTTGCCCTCAGGAGTTATTTTAAAACACTTCCTTTAATAAATATGGTTGTTGTCTTTTCACTTTAAAAAAACAAATGTGCACCTTATGCTTTTATAGACTTCACAATCTCATAAGTTTGTAACTGTATCAAACACTTCCAGAATAAGACATGCCTTGGCCAATTCTGGTTCTAAAGAATTACTCTGTGAATATGGTGTACGTCCTGACACTGACAAAAGTGCAGTAGTTCATTGTGAAATGTCTTTTTTTCAGAAATCTTTAAAATTCTAAAATGCCTGGCAAAAGCAGTTATTAATCAGACTATGATTTGTTTATTTTTTTGTAAAGGATGAATGCTACTGTATATAGAGATTTATTTTTTGATGCTATTTTACAGTATGAGCAGGAATTCAGGGGTCTGGTATTTTTTGTTCCAATTACATTGCAGTTGGTTTAATTATTTAAATAACCACATTAATTTAAATCTTCTGTCTGGGCTCCTAGGTTTTTTTTTAGGTTACTACCTTTGATGAAGTGAATGACCTTAAATATCTCATATATGTCTAATTATAAAAAATAGGCAAATTGTTGAATTGACTGCTCAGGTTGAAACAAAATACAGAGGACAAGATCCTCCACGAATCTAGTTTGAGACTTGTGGTATAGTTAAGTGTAATAATTAGAATTCCATCAACTTTCTTCAATGCTAGTTACTGTAGCTGTTTACAAAGTAATGCTTTTTTTCCAGATACAGTGGAATGAGAATCACAGATGTTTTGCCACACAGAGCACGCCTCCATCCTCTCTCTGTAACCCTTGAGGTGGTAGGGTTTTGGAGGTGGATGGCAGTAGGTTGTGGTATAAAATTCTGACCTGAGTTGCTGAAACAAAATTTCTTGTTTACTTCAAAACTGTTCCATTGGAGGCCCTGGGGGGGGGGGGGGACTTTTTACAGGTCTCTTGGAAACTGTTGAAGGTGGTTTTATTGTTTATATAGAGAATAAGCTCAGAATGCAGAAACCTGTCTAGTTTTGAATGTTCTGATTTTGTTTGTTTGTAAAACGTTATTCGTACTGTTGAATGTTTTAAATGTTATCTACCTGTGTTTTATTTCAATAATGAGTCACTGCAGAGTCAGCTCTCAATTAGCACTATCAGGCAATATTAATTATAAGAAAACATGACAAAAAACACAACAATGATAACTGTTAAAAATACTTTTTCACAAATGCGTCAGCCTGTGTTCTCAGTTTATATTTTCACAAATGTATTTTGATCATAATACAACAATTGTCTTAATTAACAATTAATGTCTGTCATAGCAAGACTATGTAATCTAGTAGATTTTTAATATACTAATAAATAATGAGAGATATTAAATATGCAACAAATATGTATTGGAACCAATAGCATTTGTTTAATTTCTAATACATCTCAGTATATAATACCTTCACAGCCAGCACCTCCTGTTTATTAAAATGGCAGTGGTTTCCCAGTCTTTGATATTCACTGATGATCAATCTTTCAAACAGCTAAGGGTGTGAAATGTACAAGCATTGCTTTACAAGGACTAATCTGCGCTGTGGCACACTTCATTCAGAAAGCCCTGTCAATTGCATAGGCAATACGATTAGCCTATTTAAAACAAGTGTGGGTCGTGTTTCCTACATTAACAACTGATCCTCTGGGCCTTTGTAGATTTGCCAAGAAATTATTGAACAGTCTATTTGAAAGAGCAATTTCTATAAACGGAGGCAGAATGACTGGTTTGGGGCTAATGGCACTGGAACACTCAGGTATTGTTCACTCTATGATCTCATGTTACCTAAGGGACAGGCTCACCTCTGTCTTGTAAACACAAGCAATATAAAATGGTGGGAAAAATCTGGCAGGAAAGGGTGGCTAATAATTTGGCATGTTATACAGTACAGTGAAACCAGCTGAAGTGCCAACCTGATTTGATTGGCAAGCGTGTGGTAAAAGCAAATGTCAAATCCCTAATTTAAACCATAACTCTGAATGCACCACTGTATTGTTTATGTGAATTACTTAACATGACCATTTATGAAGGCAGATTTTTTTAACATTGCATCAGAAAATGTTGCATGCCTCTACTTAGAAGAACATTCAAAGAGAAAGAGGCAGTTTGGCTCATTATCCAACAAGAGGAGACCAGCTTGTATGTTTGGTTGCAAGTAGCTTCTTACAATGGTATATTGTGTCTCTTGTTATACTAAAGGGCGTCATCTCTAATTGCATTTAAGCCAAACGAATAACTAGGGCATCGTGTAGTTCAAATACAGAATTCCTAGTGAAGTGATGTAACTTGTGTTTTCCTGAGGTTTTCCATGTTCTTTCTGGTTTCCCACAGGTACAGGCCATGGGGAAGGGCTGCACCACAGCAACGAAATACTTCTTGTTCTTGTTCAACCTCCTCTTCTTCGTAAGTTCCAGAGGATTTTCTCCTTTCATAACTGACCCCTGCAAGGTGTATGGGAATGAGGCTGATGATCTGGTCGGTGTCTCTTAAGAACATAAGAAAGGTCACAAACGAGGATGTAGCTAATGCAAATCTCGTCCAGCCATCTTCTTTCATGAAACAGCAACATAGCTGGTTCTATACTCCCACAGCCCTCTGTGCAGAAAAGCGTTCTCAGCTTTAAGAGCACTTCCGGTTTCCATTCATGGTTTGTGTTCCACTATTTGACCTGAAAAAGTGCACTGGGTTGACTTTGTCAATACCTTCAGGATTTTCTTTAAAAAAATCAGGTCTGCTCATAATGATCTCTGTTCAGGATTTCAAAGTTTCAGTTCCTTCAGTTTATCAAATGAGGGATAATTTTGGAAAGTGAGCATGATGCAAAGGCGCGCTCTTCTGTTTACAGTCCACAGAGTAGCTCCGTACAGCCGCAGGACTGCATAGTAGACAGAGAATGTCTTGAGCTGTTCGGAACCATCACTAATGTTAATTTCCACGTTTTCGAATTACAAAGACAGATTACAGTTTCTTGAAATTTAAGGGTTTGGAAGTTTAAGCATTGATTAGAAGTTTGTAAGATACAATCGCAAAAAGCTTTTACTTTGAACTAAACGGAAGTTTAGTACATGGACATTTAAAGGTTTTAATTATTAACAGGCTTCTCTCTCATTAGTGAGAGAACAGGGTCAGCCATTTATGGCTTCAATATTAAGTCTAGACTGTCCACCTGAAGACAGGAGTTGTTTTTCTAATGATATAGGTATTAAACAGCTCTTTACATCTCGTACTCAATTCTGAGCATAGAGAGTGGAGGTAGGGAGCTCAGGCCACTTCATCAGTGGTATCAGGGTGGAACTGAACCCTGAACCGTGATATTACAAACACCATATTTAAATCTTTTGAGCTACTTTATTCCACATACAAGATTCTTATAAATCTAATTTCTTCTGTTACCTGTTGACCTTGCGATATAAAACCCTGTCAATGAAGCTGATCATAGATGTGGTTTTCTAGGTTTTCTCCCAAATAGTGATGGTGATTGTGATTGTTTTTTGGAATGATACCACTTCAGAGTTGGAGAATTAAAATCATAGCACTCACTGTTAGCATATGAAGATATCACATCAGTACGTTTCTTTCAGTGTACGCAAATACAAAACAAAAAATACCCTTTATCCTTCCAGGACATTTTTTTTTCTTCGCCAGGCCACAGATGGGTTTCTGTGGACAGTAGAAAATGAGGCCTAACTCCCCCTATTTATGCCCAGTGCTTCTCAGTACGCTTTCCTGTTGCTGAGTGTGCTAGTGGAGTTCACACACGTTCTTTACCTCATGAGAAATCTGTTTCCTGTCAAGCAGGACTGTCTGTGTGAGCCTCCCAAACACATTCCGTATCCTTTGTGCTTGTTGTCGTTGGAGACAGAGCCTGGAATCAAATCCAGATGTTGAAGAAGTGGCTGTATTCCATGAGAAGCTGCCCAGAGGTCTCTTTAGGCAAAGCATTTCACAAGAAACATGCACAGTAATTTGCTGTTAATCGCACTGAAAATATAGTCATTGGTGTTTGCGTCAAAAGCCTTTCTGCATACATTAGCACGCTGAGCTATAAAAGATGTTGTATTGTAGGTTTCAACGGGAGTGTAGGCTTTCATTTCAGTTTCTGTTTTCGCTTTCTTCCCCAGATATTTGGAGCCGTGATTCTGGGATTTGGACTATGGGTTCTTTTGGACAACCAGAGTTTCATGAATGTTCTGCGTAAGTGACAGCTTGCTCTTTTAAGTGCACATACCACTTTTAACACTGAGTGAATGTGTGCCAGCTACAAATTAAGTACGATTTTAATTTAACTGTAAATCTGGTAGATCGTTTTATCAGCCTGTTATGTCCTGGACTTTCAGAATACCAATGGAGTCGCAATGTTTAGAAACTATGCAAAAGCAAAGTTTAAGCAAGTAGATTAAAAGTTTCAGCTTAAGTGAAAAGTAAAGCATTATAGAATTTAAAAGAAAATAATTAATGAACAAGAACCTTTTTTCAGTTGATTGATCCTATACTATTTAAGTTGATTTTTGTTGTGTTGTTGTAGGTCATTTGTGTACAACAAGGCGTCAGCCCCTTTACCAAGTTATTCTTTCTTGATATTCCATCCATCCATTTTCGTACCGCTTCATCCAGTTCAGGGCCGTGGGGGAGCTGGAGCTTATCCTGGCAAACAACGGGCACAAGGCAGGGTACACCCTGGACAAGACACTAGTCCATCTCAGGACACAGTCACTCGCACCAGGGCCAGTTTTCACAGAAGCCTGTTTACCTACCCATGTGTCTTTGGACTGTGGGGGGAAGCCCATGTGAACATGGGCAGAGCATGCAAACTCCAAACAGATAGCACCCCAGCTCCAGAATTGAACACAGGGTTACCACTGTGCTACCGTGCCTCCCCTCTTTTTCATGTTTTGCTATATATATATCTTTTATTTGTCATCAAGGATATAACTAATAGCATTTTAGTTGTGCATTTGAATAAAGAAAAAATAGCCACATGAGTCTCAAATCTGCACTGCCGAGAAGAGCTGTGAACACCACAGGAAAGTGTGATACTAGCATAAGCCTGATTCTGTCTCTTGCAGAGAGCACCTGACCATACAGAAAGCTTTCAGTTTTACTCTGACCTAATGTTAGTTGTGAAAATTTGTGAAATTTCCAGTAGTTCAATTTTGTGTGACCAGACTGGTTTTAGTTTTGGTTTTATTGTTCTGTGATTATTATTTTTTCCTTTTGACATTTTTCAAAGCATTGTCACTGCAAATAAGTGAAAGAGAAAGTGAGCTTTGCAGAGAACAAACATAGCCTTTAAATAGTTTGTAGCTGATCTCTGCTTTTCTCATTACTGACCTCTCAGTCTGGGATACCTGGTAGTTTTAGTTTCCAACAGAAAACCCCAGGTGAAACACCATTAGCTTTTCCATTAATTTCTTACCCAGGTGGACCTAAGACATGTTTTTTAAGAGTACAGCCTAAACTTTGTGTACTGTACACTTGAAAAGTAGTTTTCAGATCTTCTTGAGTTTGACCATCACATCATTGTAACTTTAAAACAAGACCAAACAGTTAAAAAAATGCAAGAAAATTAACACAATAACACAATGGACTGCTTAGGATTCCTGACTTATTGACAGTATTGGGCAAATGAACAATAATTTTAACTTTATATAGTTAGTTCTTGAAAAGTCAACAAACTGTTGTGTTATGTAAAAATGCAAATGATATTTAAGATGCCATTGAAATATGAGGCTGTAACAGTGCAGCAGTATTAAAACAAAGCCCCTGTCCTAAAAACCATGAATTTTAATGCGAATACTAGTATCTGCCGATTGTACTTGGCTGGCTTACAGGCTGTTTGGCAGACTACAAAGGACATAAATGCTATTTTTCTTTCTTCAAGGGCTGTTTGAAGCAGAAGAAAACTACAGCTTTAGGATTTTTCTTTCTTGGATAAGCATATGGGCAATGAAACTTCCTAGTTTTAGCTCATAAATTTATTGGAAGAGGTGAAACTGAGCCTTCTCGTGAAGAGCCAAGATAGAAGACAGACAAGTTAATCTCCCTTGAAGAACAACTCTGTGTTGTAAATAGATTTGAGGGTTTTAAAAATTCAAGATCTGCAAAATATCTACTTGGATAATCTGGTCAGATCTCACATGCTTTGGACCTTTTTCATCCCTACTTCACATCTCACATCAGGTCCACCATCTTAAATCCATAGAAAACTCTCACGTCGCAGAGTCAGTATTACAAATATTGCTTCTTAAAAACTGTAGTAACTAAAGTTGCAGAGTTCTTCAAGGGGGGTTTAAATGTTGAATCACATGAGAGGAAATATTTCATGGGTGTGAAAAGGAAATGTCAGGAACAGGACAATTTTAAAAAATGGAGGAAAACAACCACCACGTCTTGATGTCTGAAAGTGCAGTAGATTTTGATTTCACTGGCATTAATGTAGTTTTAGTTCTATCATTCTTTCTATTCTTTGATCACGGTTTTATAACCAGTGATGCATTAAGAATATTTCTCTTACATACTATACAACTTGATTAGTCCAAGTTTTCCATCCTTTTAATATATTATAGTTAAAAACTATCTTTATGTTTAGGTGACACATATACAGTAGTATAGATATAGGAGTTACAGCTGGTTTCACATATAGCCATGTTTGTAAAAATATGCATCTTCTGTGCGCAGGTAACATGGAGGTAAGGAAGACCGAGGCCATCTTGCGAAACTCTATGGAGCCATTTTCTGTTGATTTGTAGTCTACCTGACTTTTGCTTTTGTACAGAAGCTGTACATTTCTTGACTTTTAATTTATTCAAACAGAAAATACGAGTGCACTGAAAAAAGCACTAAAAAAAAAGGGACTTTTTAAACACGTTTTAAGGGAAAGAAAAAGTATCTGACCCTGCTATCAATTACATTTTGCCAAAGGAAACGTAAATGATCTGTAGCTGCAAGAAATTTGATAGCTAACCACTCCTCCTGTTATTCAGTGTGGCTCACCAAGAGAGTACTTAAGGATACTATTGGTACTCTTTACCTGACAGAGGAAGATTCTTGTTAGTTTTAGTAATGTTGAACTGCATGATGAAGAGCTTTCTGCAAGGAAAGGCCTGAGCATGAATCCTCTTCCCTGATTTACTTGAGGGACTGGAATTTAGGGGAGTGCAATCAAACACTCGAATCATTTGGACTTGTAGAAGCAGAAGAACTCTAAATTACAGTCGAGGTTGCTGCTGGTAAAAAAACTGAAAATGACCCTAATTTCAAAGAACAAAAAAAAAAATCAGAAAATTGAACAAACCTGCGGTGAAGAGCTGGTTTCTTTTTAATAAAAAGAATCCTGCCTGGCATGTCAGACTTTACTAACACGGTCACAGTCATGGATGCATGGAAGTATTTGTGTCAATGAGCTGAGTGAATATAATAATGGAAGGTAATGCTTTTCATTTCTAACATGACTGAAAGTCATTTCTCTTCTGGAGCATGTGTAGGTTTGAATAAAAGCATTTGCTTAATGATAGAACATCTCATTTATTATTTTGAAAAGAATAGATATAATGATGAAAATATTAAGTGTTATACTTTGATGATAGGGGAACATTGTGGCATGTCATGCTGTCCTGCACAGCAGTTTTACTGTCTAATGAGTTACATCATCTGATAAGTAGGGGGAAAACAACGGATACTTTTGGGTTCTAATGAAAAGGTTCAGGAAAACATAAACAGCTGCTTGGCAGCTGGTGTTCCTGGTGAATAGAACCTGAATTTAACATAAAATATGGTGGCTTCTGAGCATGTCTGTGGCCACAGACTGATTGCAGTTTATAAAGAAAATATATAGGTTACAGTTTTGCACAGAATATGGTCAAAGAATATGTTTCATGTTATTACTGAAAATCCAGAAAGAAAACAACAGTGCATCACTAGAACAGGATGGGACTCACTGAGTTAGTTTGGCTTCCTTGAATTTCTAAATGTCTTTGTGGATATCAGATTATAAATTAGTCATATAAATAGACAAAAAGGGGTAATACAAGAAAAAAAAAATCCAGAAGCTCTTATTCCATACTGGATGAAGACATCCCTGGGCTAGATAGGTACTTCAGGAGCTGCTAATTAAGGAAAATTAAATATATTTGGAAACAGGAAAAATAATTTTGTATTTCTTATAGAATAAAGTCATGTTTTTCATTACTGTCTGGAAGGAATCATGGCAGTAGTACAACAAACTCTGTGTACAATGAGTGGTGAAAACCAATGCCTTTCATTAAAAATTTAACAGGAAATCCCCAAATATTCTAATTTCAGAATGTAGTGGAAATGTTCTAATCTAAGGGATGTTTTATGATTTTTTAAATTGTAATTATGTTCGTTTCCTTGAATTAAGAATCATAGTCATTTGGAATACCATGGAATATTTTTGTTTCTGTTGTGATTTTGGGTGACGTTCAAAGGCCTGGCGATCTTTGTGAAAACAGCGAACAAATGTTTAGCGTTGACCCTATCCTGTAATTCATCATATGACATGACTAGCCTTAAAACGATTGCCAAGAATCAGTGAACATTTTATAGATGTTTTACTCTGTAGATAAACATTAAAATAGTTCTCTGGTTTGCATGTCATTGAAACAAGGGATCACAAGGGATCACCAGATTTAAGAAAGATTCTGCAAAATCGCCATTGAAAGTGGAAATTATAAATGATGCTTGAGCCTCATAAATTAGTGCAAGAATTTTAATTTACAAATCTATAGCATTCAAATAATGAAAGTAATACAAAATGTGTATCTAATTTTTTATGTGAAGCAGAATTAGGTAAAAAATGCATTTAATTTACTGAAATTTAGCTTGAGCTGTGATCAAAATGTAGCCTTAATATCACCATGGCCAGCATGATTTAATCCTGCTGGAATTAAATGTGTGATTTAACAACCCATCTGCAGAGAGAAATTGATTTAGTGTTGGATATCACAAATGGGATAGAACCTTAAGCAAACAATGTCTTTTATTGACTTTGGTAGAGGGCAAGCAGGTGTGTTCCAAATTGTGCACCTGTGATTAGTTTTGCTAACTGATTAGTTTTCCCTGTCCTTTTTAATTAAGCTGTCCCATTTAATTTGACATGCAATTAGGTCTGCCATTCGTTTCTTTGTTGAAAGTGTGTACATTTGTCTATAACAGATGTATATCAATCCTTTTGAATTCTGAAAGCATGCGTTTATTATTTTGTTGTTTAGTTAGGTCAATTAAAAAAGAGAACTGTTTTCTATTGTCATTTACCAGTCTTTGGCCTTATTTAAAAGAATGTTTAAACACTGCATCTGTTATGGGCTAGAGCCAAGTAAAACAAGGTGCAGAATCCCAGAAGGTGTCATACAAATAATTTGTCATTAAAAATTGTAATTTTATATTTATAAACACAGTGTATCTAATATATGAAGAGCAAGAGGAGATAATCAAGCCAATCACCAGATTATGCATTTCCTTCTGAATTTCTTGCATTTGGTGCTTCTTAGCAAATTATAAGGATAGAACAGTGGTAGTACTAGGCACCAGAAGAAGGCACTATATTGAGGAATATGATGGAGCACATGCAAAGGAGGAGAAGATTGTCATCTTTCATTATGCCACAAGTCATTGTGCAGAGGAAACTCATTATTTTCCCAGAAAATGTCTTTGTGTTTAATGAGGTCTTCAAATGTGCAGAAGTGACCCTCATCAGTCAAGGGACAACTGCCAAATTTGAATCCACCTGCAGGATTTGAATCCATGTCATGTCTCTTTTGTCAGAAGACATGACATGGTATTTGGAGACAGTCTGGAACATTTTCACCGCACACCAAATAGAGAACATTTCAGGAGGCATTCAAGTCAGACGGAGCAGGTACTTCAAGTCACTGGATAAGGAGGATTCTATGGTTTCACTAACTTTACAGATAATTTTTCACAGTAATGCATCCTAGTGCTTAAGCTCTTCTCTTGAATACAGAAACTCTAGCTCAAATCTCAGAGAAAACATGCCAAAAAAGCTACTGTGTAACCCGAGTTTGTAGTATTGAAGTGTGAATGTTTTGCTTGTAATAAGTTGCACATAGGAATAATATTAACATAATCCTGATAATTATGTTTTAATTTTAATGCTTTCTTGATCTGACATAAAACTTGTATTTCAGGAACACAAAGCCAACCAGATTTTTGCATAAGCAAAATAGTATCATTATAGAAAAAAGAAAAGGTTTCTAGAAGAAAGGGCTACCAAAAAAGGGAAAGAATTTGTTGTATTCAGAACCAATGTCCCACGCTTGCCAGGATAGGCTCCAGCTCCCCTGCAACCCTGAATTACATGAAGTAGATAGGAAATGGATAATGGATTCTGTTTTTTGGAATTGTTCTGATAACTTGATCAGTCATGACTGACTGTGTTGCACTTGAGTGACTTTTGCAGTGCTCAGATCATGCAGATTGTGTATCAACAGCTTTCTAGAAAGATTAAAAACTTTAAAATAATGCAAGCAGTAGACATTTCAACCTAGTGAAGCTGTAGATGAAGTTCTAATTGGTCCTGACTGAATATTAGTTATATAAAGCTAAATGCTTTTGAGAAGGCCTTTATACTCATATCTCAGTAAGCAGTGGTGGAAAATTGTGCAACATTTAATATCTGTACAGAAAATGAAGAAGAATAACAAGTTCTAACTTAAGCCACCTTGTACTAAAAAGCCAGCTAGTCGGCTTTATAGTTGGCGCAGCAGAGAGCTGAGTATTAAGATTGTGCCTGGAGATGTTTGGCTGCCTATTCTTCAGGCTGAGGTTATCAACTCTGCTTCAGATTTTTTGTACTGCGTTATGCTGAGGTAAATTAATGCTGATTCCTTGTCTTTAGTTCTGATCGTAATATTTTCTTTTAGGATGAAATGTAATTCTTATCTCAACTGAATCTTTATATGAAGATAATCTCTGCAAACTGATATTATGGACTAAAACCCTATAAGCTTCTTCCTTTTCATTTTTTATCATAATTTGTAGTTTCCTGTAGACAGCTTAATAAAGCTATGAATCACTTCCGTTGGAATCAGTTGTGGTGCCACTATTTAGTTTTAAATTGGCAAGTATATTGAGATACCAAATTTGTGTTTTGTATTTGCACTGTGGAGCAAATCTGCAATTTCTTTGTAAATGTTACGAATGTTTTTTTTTCCCTTTCTGTAAACAATCTGTAAAATTACATGCCGTGCACTAAAATATTTAAAACAATTGACTTTTCAAACTTTGTAACAGAAACTGATCTGATACAGAACAAAACATTACTTGACACCTACATTTCCATCTATTTTTTATCTTAAGTAGTTGTGGTGGTGAAGAAAATAACATACTGTACTATACCGATATTTGGTGTATTGATGTTTGTCTGCAATCGAAAATGATCATTTATGATCTGTTTTACAACTTTGTAACTTACCACTTAACTCAGCTTATTGCTGCAACCCTTGTGCAGTTAGAAGAGAATGAGGACCTGTTCCTGCTGTCCTGTCACATTCAGACTTATTAGAGCCATTCATCATCTAAGCTCCACAGAGTCTTGCTGTCTTGCTCGACATTGATCACTATCTGGAGGAGCAGTGCGTCTTCCATTGCCAACACTGCAAGTTTAAGGGAGCATGAAGGATCCCAGAAGTACCCTTTAACCTGAAGGACAAGGGAAGTTTAGGGATCAAAATCCCTATCAACCCTGGTAGTTTCCAAATCATGCATGGTGATCTGGAGAATCTGTCACAACCAGCTGATGGCAGCTCAAACTGGAACCGGAGAAAGCTTCCATTGCTCCAAGCACATTCCTTAACAGGCTGAACTTACATTACTCACAAGCTCAAGGGGATGTCAGTCTCAGCTTTAACACCTTAGTCTTCTAAAGAATGTCCAGAGAGAAAAAGATCAGCTATATTTTGTACGTAGCCATCATTGTTTGATGGCACTCCTGTAAAAGGTTTCGATTCTTAGAAACCTTGTGGTGAGATTAAAAGTTGCTTTTTGTCAGCGTTGGGCATAACTGATATCCGAGTAAGAAAAAAGCCATTTCTTTTGGAGAACCAAAAGAGCCGCAGAATGTCTGGCTCCTGGGCAACTTCTTGTTTCTGTCTGCTGTGCTTGGTATGAACTTCTTTTGGCCAGCTGGGCGCTTGCAAAGCAAGATATTTTAAATGTATTTTTTTACCCTGAAATGTGTGAGCATGGTAGTGCAGTAGTTTTACTTATAGTGTAGTGCACAGTCATGCCAGCCATCCAACAAAGCACTGTTCTTCTAGTTTGTCATGAAAGATAAGGAAGCCCCACTTCAATAACACTGTATGGTCATGTACTATTAAGAGCATTCATGATATCTGCATCTAGTGTCTTCTGATTTCAATTTATCTTTATTTTTCTGTTATTTCCTTTCCAAGGTTATAGATCAGCAACCATATTTAAATGTGATAGATGATTTTATTGCACATTCTGTTTATCCCCCATATTGGTTTTGTATCTTCAGATTTGTGTTTCACTATTGTTCCCTATGAAAGAAAGAAACACGATGTGAAAGACCTTTGAAAGCAAGTGTGTAAAGGGGGAGGTATACTAGTGTTATGTCAGATAAAGGTCATTATGTTGCACAACTATTTGTACAATAGAATTTACTTCCTATGTTCGTTTCATGACAAGTGTCAGGAGCTTTTTAGAAGATATGTGTAATTTTAGGCTAAATGTCCGATTATTTTTCAGGGGAACAATGCAGAATTGAATAGAGCACTTCACATAATGGGTCCAAACAAATAATAATAAAAGTAAAATCCGTCCCTTTTCCAGCAGCTTCATCCGAATCAGAGCAGCAGGAAAGCCAGAGCCTATCCCAGCAAGCACTGGGCACAAGACAGGGCACGCCCTAGACAGGATGCCAGTCGGTCCCAGGGCAGAAACACTGGCACAAATAGACACTCACACCTAGGCCAGATTTCCTAGAAGCCAATTAACCCATCGGCGTGTCTTTGGACTATGGGAGGAAGCCAGAGAACCCAGAGGAAACCTACGCAAACACTGGGAGAACATTCAAACAAGATAGAAGCTCAAGTCCGGGACTGAACCCAGGGCCCGAGCACTGGAAGGCGGGAATGCTAACCACTGTGCCAAGTTCCTGCCCAGTTATTAAAACCGCTGCAGATGACTATTGATCGTATAATCATCAGTGTATTTTATGGAGGTTTTAAGGAAAGTTCAGGAGAAAGACAGCTCGAACGCTGTAACACGCTTACCAAAGCATAAGTGTCAGGTTTCTAACAGCTTTCCTGCATTTGCTTCTTGTGTCCCTCTCTACCTCATCACCCACGCGGAACTCTTGTACTCTTTTCACCTGGGGTCGGTTCTGATGGGCTCATTCTTGCAGTCAGGTTGTCCTTGTCTCAGCCAAGATGGCTAAACAAACAAGTTAGAAGTCTAATGACTTCTGTCAGTCCAACTTAATCAGGGCTGTTTGAGTTACTGAATCATTTATTACTTGCAAATAATGTGATATACCAGGCCTCAACAGTGTGTATTTTAAAGTGCTTTTCAGGCTTTAGAAAGCCTTGTCCAATGGGGTGTGTAGCAAAATAAAACAAAATAATAATAGCAAAATCCTCTTTTATGCAAGAGGTGTACAGGCCTTTTTCCTGTTATTTAAGGACTTGTTTGCAGATTCCAAGCTGTTTTGTTGTGACACTGGCCATGTTATTGTTGAGGTATATGATGAAAACTGAAGGAAAGGCTGAAACTCTGCATTTAGAGCCAGATGGTCTAGTCATTAACCTTTCGGTGTCCCTGTTCCGTTTCCTTCACAGAGCAGTCTTCCACATCCCTGAAAGTGGGCTCCTACATTCTGATCAGCGTGGGCTCACTGTCCATGCTGATGGGATTCCTGGGCTGTATTGGTGCCATCTATGAGATCAGGTGCCTTCTGGGTTTGGTGAGTTGTTTCTGCAATTTACATTGAAAATTCAACTGCTAAGTTTTCAGACCAGGTAGGCTTCATTGAGTCAAGAGAATCTGCGCTGTCTTGAAAATAATGTCATTCACTGCAGTACTCTTTAATTCTCCAAGAGTATGAACTCCAACTGTCCTAAACTATGGCACCTAGCAATATGGTACAGGAAATAATTTTCAGTTTGGGATTTTTTTGGCTTGGGGTATTTTTCCTCAGCCTGTCAACAGAGTTTTATAAAATATCAGACACTTACTTCCACACCTGCTCATGTGGTAACATTTGTTGAAGCTCAGAGTTAACTACAGTATCCTCACCGTTTTTACTTTAAAGATCAGTGGTTTTGTCAAAAACTAACAAAAAACTACTACTTAACAGACACAAACCTGCCGTCTGTTGCTAGCCTGTAAACTGCACATTTCATTCGGAAATCTCTGAAGATTATGAGTGAAAACTCCCACCTAGCTTTTCCCTTGTCTGAGCTCCTTCTCTTGGGAACAAGGTTAAGATGTATCAAATCTAACAGAGGCTATTGTGTCTCTTAACTCAACACTGTTGTAAAGTAATATTTTGGTAAATTAGAGGATTTATGTCTTCACTGTAATGTAGCCTTGTACTCTATTTTGTGTATGTTATACTTTTTATTTCTCCTTAGTATCTGTCTTTTTGTTTTTGTGTTACTTTGAGTGCCCCATAAAAAAATTCCTAGTAACTCAAAGGATTGGTTTGGCAATAAAGTTGACTATGGCTTTAAAACATGTTACCTGCTAGATGAGTTTCTGTGATTTAAATTAGTTTTAAGGCTACTGCCCGCTACAACTGTAGCAACATGATGCAGAGCAGGTGCAAATGAGCCCAGTACACTCAATTTGGAGAAGAATGGTTTCTTTTTATGATGGATTAGCTCTTTTAGAAAGAAAGGATGCTACAGAATTGCTTGGCTAGTTCGATCCCTAGAAAGTGTCATTTCCTTTTCTCTTCAGTACTTCACCTGCCTCCTCTTGATACTGATTGCCCAAATCACTGCTGCTGTCCTGATTTACTTCCAGCGAGACCTGGTGAGTATCTCTCTGCCCAGCGCCCCTGCATTCTTATAGCAATGTCAATGCGAGAGTCATTGTTTTGAGAGCTGATGTTCACTTTCCTGTTAAGACACTGTGAAACTTGCAGCACTTCACATGGTAAATGGCTGGGGCAGAAGGGCTTGTCGGGCACTGCATGTAGCTCCCTCTCCACATTTGCTAAAGTGATTGTAGCTGTAAAGCTGTCACAGTATTGGTGATTCCACATTGAGGTTGTTGAAAAAAGAAAAAGCATTATAATTGTTTAGAATTCCATGAAAGTGTTTATCATGGTTAAATCTGTTTTTTTTTACACTACTTTGTTTGTTTTGTAGGATAATATAGATTTATTTTTGTCCTTTTTGTTTGTTTTCACAAATGAGATTTAATCACATAATAATTCTTAATCTTAATCTCAGTCTTAATCTCCATTTTTCTCACTGTAAAATGTGTCTGTCTTGCAAAGACCCTTCTGTAAGTGAAAAAGGAAGGGAAATAGTGGGGGGGGAGTGCAGGCCTGAAAACCACAGCCTTGCAGCTGTTTTACAAGCAAAAATCTGCGAGCACAATCTGGTAAAATAAGCAGAAGGAGAAAGTGATGTCAGAGCAGGGGGAACTGGAAAAAGGGTATCAGCTTGTGAATTTCCACTGTACATACTTGTGCTGGTGTGAAGCTGGAGTCTTTTTTTCTTGAAATTGAGAAAAGCTGGTAACGCTGAGCTCATTACCCAAAAGTGAATTATGAATAATTTCACCATGTCTTCCACATTAACTTTAAATAATGCCCCTTTTCTACTGCACTTTTTTCAGTAATTGCACAACAGTCATCTATAGTCGGAACAGAATAAAAATTACTGTGAAATAACTTATTTTAAATAAACCAATATTGTAAGCAACCTGGCTTCTCTATCTGCTGTAGCAAAAGTACATGTAAAAACAATTGGCTGCTCAAAGAAAGAATAACAGCCCCCAGCAACACATACACGTTAGGAAGAAGTATTCTACAGGCTTGTTATTTCAGCGCAGGCCTAGCCACAGTGAATCACATCTTCATCCCCATCCAGTAAAGAGCATTGGGGTTTAAGGAATGCACAGTACCAGCACCCAAAGGGTGAAGCTGAGGACAATTGTTGTTGCAGCCCACAGTTCTTGGCACAGAACTTAGACTGCAGCTGCTATTAGATTGGCAGAGCCTGTCTGAGGATTTGAAGGGAAACATCTGTACCAGGAAAGACCATGAAGAATGATTTACACTCCTGTCTGCTCCAAGATGCACATTCAGTTCTCGAGTGCCTTTTTTATTTAATTATTCCTGAAGGAAGACAGGGTGGTTTTATTCAGAGAGATGTGACCCTTTCCTTTACAGAATCTCAAGTAATGTTTTATTTCATAACCTTTTTCTTCATGTGTGGAAAGCAGTCCGTTTTTGTCCTGCACCACATTTCGGAACAGTATTGTTTTGGTAAGAAAGTTGAAAACAACAGCGAGGCAAATGACATTTTATTTGCAATATATTGTGACTAACTGATAAAGAAAGACATTTTTTACATTTTTTTTCTTTTGCACAGTCTCAAAGATCACAAATGAATTTAAAATAGATTTCTTAAAAGAGAGTGCAGTTTTGCAGCTCATGCACACACAACAAGCGAAGGTGTGATCTTCTTTTCTCTCTGATAATAACTATGATAATTGCAACTCTTGCTTTCAGTTGCACTGACTCAACAGTCACTGGGATTATTGCCAAATTAGACAGGTTGAGGTTTATGTTAGCACTCATTTGCTAAGATCTAAATCATTCTGTGCTAGGGTGCTCAGTTAACCATTTAACCCTATACAGCTGTGTATCATGTTTGTAGACCTGAAGTCATAAACCTTTACCAAGAGCAGAACGTAGTTATTCCTGTGCAGGGAATCCCTCTCTAATCCTGTTCATTTGGATAAAGAGGTTTGTCACAATTTAATTTTTATTACTAAGAGAAATACAAAGGCAGCACGGGCAGAACCCAAAATGCCTTTTCCTTCTTTAAATTGCTACAATGCATCTCACTGCAAGGCAGGCCTCACTTATTATAAAAGCTGCTTTATTACAAAAAAAAGTTTAAGATACAATTTCTGAAAGTCCATCTATAGGACCGGCAGATATTTCATGGAGAGAGAGAGAGAATCAGGACTGTGTTTCAGCAAGTTTTCATGTTATACATTGTTCTGTAAGATTGTTCGTACTTGATGTTGTATTCTGTTTGTCCTATGCTTTTGTTTATGCTAATGCACTGCAGTCTTGATTCTAATCGAGCTACCCTTTGAAATAGTAACAATAATTTATGGGGAAAATCTTGTGTAATACTAGGTTAGTTTCTTTTGTGTGCTTCCTTTAGATATGATAAGCTGTGAACTTCACAACAGCATCGCACTCTTACTATGACTCATGCAAATCTTCAATCAAAAGGATATGAATTAAAAAAGAAATGTGAAAACAGAACAATTCATGTAATGCTTATTGTTAAAGTACTTACAGTAGTGCTTTTAGCATGATCACATTCTTTACTCTCCCGTGAATAAACATTGTAATTGTTTAATGTGACATCTTCCTTCCAGAGCAATTATCATTCAGAAGTTATCTCTGAGATGCAGAGGTTTTGCTGAAAACATTTTTTAAGTTGTAAATCTACAAAAGCCATCCTCACCTTGGAGAGCCCTGGCAAAGAAGAGAGAGTCAAAATTCTGTTTATATAGTATATACATGAAGTAAACCATTTTTAAAAAAGAAAATGAAAATGTTTGTTGTGGTTGCTTACTTTTCCATTTTATCTTTGGCAGCTGAAAGATGAGATGTCGGTCATTGTTAAAAAAATAATTCTGGACTATCGTGAGGGGAACACTACAGCGGACGCGGCCTGGGACTACATTCAGAGAAGTGTGAGTAATGGCATGGTCACTGCAGGAAAACCTGCTGCTGTGGCTCTTGCCGGCAGTATTAGGGGGTTTGGATGGAAGTTGGTTGTTTTTCATGAAACAGTAATATCCTAGTTAACGGCAACTGAGGGAGCTCTTGTCCTTCTCCAGCTGGAACCTAAACTCTTTCTGTTAATTATTCAGAACGGAAAAGAGATTGTCCATTTATCACATGTCGCTATGGGAGACTGTGCTTCTTTGGATCCTGATATGTCTTGGCTGGAATGGTGGTGATTTCACAAGAGGGGTGAAAAGGGATAATTTTGGCTTCCAAATTCAGCAAAACACAGACAATTCAAAGTAAATAAAACAGTGTTTTGTACAATGGAGGGATTTGTATTAATTGGCAACTATCTTCAAGGCCAATTATGATGCCAGGCCATTTTAATGGGGGGTTTAATATTGTGGGCACAAACACTTAAAACCCTGAGGTCAGTACATTTGATTTAAGAAAAAAGCTTTTTGCAGCTAATCCACCCTTCCAAACAGCATTCATACTCAAACTTCAAGCATTCGGGAATGTTTGTTTGTATTTATATGTCTTTACTTGTTAGTTTTTATGCATTGCCTCTTGGTCAGATTAATTGCCTTCATGGACTTGGGTTTCATTGTTATGAAGATAACTGAAGATAGTCCAGTTTATTTTTAGACCAACTCAGATAGTATTGTGGCAGTTTCTGCAGTTTACAGGTTATCGTTCTGGAATAAGCACGTTATTAAGCTAAACTGTGACTGAGCTAAAGACTGAGGCTTCCATATCAGTTTTGCATCACATCTTTTACACGTGTTGACTGTGCTGAAATCAAAACTTTGATGAATTTCTAAAGACTCTTAGAACCCTTGGCCTTTCTTTTGAATCTGTCATTTGACGTTCATGTTAGGAGTGCCACAAAGGTATCTTCCTCCTGTGGAACACTGCTTGGTAAAGATCCTGGCACTTTCTGTCTGATGCTGAAATATTGATCCATGCATTTGTTTAATCTACACTGGGTCACTGTAATGCCTTATTGTCTGTGATATCGTCTAAGGTACTGTGGTGGTTTCAGTATGTTCAAAATTCAGCACCCCATAACAGTACTGTAAATTAGACATAATGTGAAATTTAGAGTGGACATTTAAGGTTTGTGCTTAAGGCATGGAATGCTCTGATTCTAGATTATTTTAATGATTTATTAAATGAGAATAGTTCAGATCTTAATCTGAATTGTGTTGGTTCTTACTCTGCTAAAGACTGGGTTCTACAAATGGAGACAGTGAGCCTTCTCATGTGCACTGCTGTTTGTCGACTTGCTAAACTTGCTTAAAGACCTTTTCATATACAATCCATAATTTGTTTTTACACTTGTTCTCACAAACTCAAGTTCACTGGGATATTTTTCACTTCATGTGATTGTTATATACAGTATTGTGTGTGTAATATTGTACTACATTGTGAGTTTCTTGAAGAGCACTAAAATAAAATGGTGTTATAATGTAGCTTAACTCTTCCTGAATGCAACTTGGGCTTCAGACAAGGATGTTGCTTGTTACCTTAGAAAACTCCTTGAAAGCAAATTCTCTTATCATACCCATATTATGATGTGGGATTCTAAATCTATTTTCAGAATGGAATGATAAACTGTGCTTGAATAAAGAAATTATCTATTCAGCAGAAAACATAATAGGATAACTCTTGTATCCCATCACGGAAATTCACCAGCCTCTATGTCCTTCCTGCTTTCAGCTAATGGAGATTTTCTGAGCTTTCCTTCTTGATGTTTCAGCTGTTTTAGTTGTTTATGAAATCCACACAAACAGCTTCTTCATCACCCTAAGGTCGACCACGAAACCTCGTGATGGAGCGTCGTTGTTCGGTAGTGAACCCAGATTAGAAGCAATTCTTCAGATTTCTTTGTCTGTTCTTCTGGTGTACAGCAGTAACCTTGATGACAAATACAGACATGTAAAACATGGATAAAAACACTTCAGTACAACAGAAAAGACGTTGAGGTGTTCCTTTTATGAAGAGAAAAAGAGATGGCAGAGTTTCCCCATTTTATTGTAAAGATAGAAGTAGTTTATGTTTCCATTTTATGTTTTCCTGCTGTGAGCTGTAAGAATTGCCTTTCCTTCTTTTAATAAGGCAACATGGTGTTTGAGTAAAAATGCTACAGAACAAATGGAGACAAATGGTGGAATAAAGCCGTTTGGTCTTGCATGTCTGTAGTGGGACTCATAGCATTGTGTTAGTAGGAAAGGTGTCCTTCATCCTCCCTGCTCTTGTTTCTAGATTCACTGCTGTGGCTGGAGTGGCCCAGGGAACTGGACAGAGAACCCGGTGCTTAAGAACAACTCCAAATCCGAGTATCCCTGCTCTTGTGCCAACCTGACTGCTGTAAATTCCTCTGTACCAAACAATGGCTTCTGTCAGAGTGAATCCAAGCAGTGGCCGGTCTACACCGTGGTAAGGCCGAGTTTCGACACACTGATGTCCATTAGTTGCACAGCCTTCTTTTCCATCTCTCTGCAGCTTCCAGTTGAAGGCTGGGACTATCCTTCTTCAGCCTGGATTCACCCAAAGCCTGTTATCTTTTCTTTGAAAGCAGGTTAAAATGTCCATGTAATTAAAAGCATGGTCAACAACAATAATGGTTTAGTTGGATTTGGATTAGTTATTACTCTGTATTCTACAGCAAATGCAGTAGGTAAAGTCTCAAAGTGACTGATATTCTATTATACCTCTCTATGTACTTCACAAGAACACTGAAATTCCTGCCAACACTTTCTTGTAGCAAAAAGAAGAAAAAGACACTTAGAACCACGCAGGTTCAGGGCCCTTTCTTTCTGAAATATTTGAAAACTGGTCTGCAACAATACCCAGAAGGTAATTTGTTATTGTTGCATTCAGAGATGCTGCTATGATTGGAAAGAGTGTTTTCTTGCTGCTCAGGGTGGTCATCCTTTTTCCTGCTCTCATTCTTTCAGGGATGTGCTTCAAGTGTGGAGAATTGGATTCTCAGTAACTCTGGAGTTATTCTTGGAGTCTGCATCGGAGTGGCAGTCATTGAGGTTTTTAACTTTTTTACAATCTACAATCATAATATCTCTTAACTGTTTTGTCACTCCTACAGGGAGTAAGCCTGCCTTGAAGTTCTTCCAGAGCACGTATTGGTAGTACTGGAAATGTTTATACCTGACCAGCTGTCCCAATGTTCCCATAATTTCATAATTTCTCCCTTCTCTCTTTACACTGTAGTCCTCAAGATTCAGAGTGCTGCAGGTTTTCTAGCTCTCTGTGAATTATAAACCTCTCTGTCCCCAGGAGAACAATTAAACTGATCCAATTAAAATTTAACTGAACCATTTTGTCCTTTCTTAGTTTTAATCTGTTGATGATTTCCAGTACCCAAAGGCCAGAGTTGTCTTTAATAAAAACCCACACATTTTATGAATGTATCAACCATTTTTGTCATTTAATTTCAACATTCAATTATGAAATCTGAATATTTTTTTAATTGCATTCCATTTTTAATTAAGTTTAAAATAGATTTTAGTCAGTAGCTTTGTTTTATGATTTGTTTCTCTCACAGAGATGCTTGTTCAGCAGGTTTTGCTTGATTTGACACACTTTTTTGCATTGTTTTTACTGTGCAGCTGCTGGGGATGATCCTATCCATATGCCTTTGCAAGAGCATACACCAGGAAGACTACACTAAAGTGCCCAAGTACTGAATCCTTTTCTGCAGAAGAAAAACACTCAGCGCCTTCCTGTGCCAATCCAAAAACAGGCAGTATGGGCAAATGAGAGACATTGTGCAATCCAGTTACAATTAGAAAAGTGGAAATCTACTCTTTCTCTTTCTCTCCCAAGTCACGCTGAAGGTTTAATCCATGTGGGATAACATCATGCTGTTTCTGTCTCTTTTAGGGTTCCGGAAATGTATATACTTTTTTTACATGCTCTTAATTTTTGGAGCGTTCTTTGCTAAAACATTAGAATATGCCTATTCCTATGGTTATTCAAGTAATTTAAGACAGAGAAGGGATAAGTTATTTAGCCAATTCATTTCTTCTGTTCCCAAAAGCTACATGTATAGATGTGTTTTTTTTCTTTTTTTAAGCACTTCATATCTTTTTTTTCCTTAAGAGCACTTTAGTAAATGTTTTATGCTGTTGATCAGTGACACAAAGACTGGTCAAGGCAGTATACACAATAGCAGATTCTATATAGTCAAAACATGAGTGAGGAAGGGCTGTTATTAAGCCAGATGGGAGGCAGGTGTTGACAGTACAAAGTCCATGTGAGTGACATTATTGGTTTGAATATTAATTCATTTCTCTCACACACTGAACAAGATTAGAAAGAATTGAGTTATCATTTGAGTTATCAATCATTATTAATAACTTTCAATCACCATCAATAATTTTATGTAATATAGTGCCTTTGAAAGCAATCATTTTTTAAAGCAAACTTCATTTTCCCATTCAATTACTTTGCAAGCTGCAAATTAATTTGGAAATTACCTCAATACCCAAAATACAGTAGCAACAGATAAGATTTTTTTTCTTACCTGCAAAAGTTTCTACTTTTTGACAAATCCTTCTAACTCTCAAAAGGTTAGGTTGCTGTGTTCACAGTACAGCTCAGGCTTTGATGCAGTGTATATGTTGTCAGTCCACTTCTGAATTCTTAAGGATTTCACAATACCCTTCTTTTATTAACTCAGTACTGTCATCTGCTTTAAATTTTAAGCCTTGATTTTGAAAATCCCCATGGTTTGGCCTGGTCTGATTGGTCTTTGTACCATTAGGGTATGGTAAATTAGTTTTGCATGATGTCTTTTTATATGTATTTTTGTGTATGTATATATTTCTGCAGTTAAGAATTAATGAGTGCCTGATTTGCAGTTTATGGCTTAGCATTTTATATGAAAAGATAGTTGCCAATTTCCTCTGTAATAAATAATACAATTTTATTTCTGTGACATGTTTACATGTGAAATATGAAGAGTTATTGGAGGAAGAATCGGCAATATTTGACACCAGATATTTACTTAAGACTCTCACACCACATGTGCATGTCACTCTTAAAGTATGCTGTGAGTTGATACTATCTCTTTTAAAATTAGGTATGTGGGTTTTTATTGTCCTTGTGCAAAGTTTTGCATGGCTAAAGTGTGCCCTTAGGCTCTAGCTGATATAGGGCTCAAGTTATCCGTCTTTGACCTAAAATAAACAGAAGATTAAGCAAGGGTTAGTATTTTAAAGTTCTGAGATGTGTTACACTATACCAGATGCTGTTTACTGTATTATCCAGTGTACTCATGTCATCTTCCAATTACAACTTTTAATGTACTGTGCTTCTTTAAAGACATTTAATAGTGTTTTTTGTTGCAGATGCAAATTTTACTTAAAGACATCTGAAGATTCTCATTTTATGATGATTAAAATGTCAGGTACTGTTTTAATGTACGTGACACTGCTTTAGGATTTCTTGTTGTGTGGTCAAGTGTTAACATTCCACACTTTAACTGTTCTTTAAAAGACATATTCAAGCACATTCAACAGCAGAGAAGCTTTGGGCTTGATCTTGTACAAAAGGACACCCATTGGGGTAATAACGTAACAGCTGGGTTTCTGAAGGTTTCTTGTAAAGTTAGTGGTTCTGATCCAGAGACGGAAATGTAGATGAAGGCTCTTGCTTCTTTCCTTTTGTTTTTTCTGAGAAAACATCCATGGTTATTTTTTAAGTTTTATTGCAGATAGGTATTCTTGTTTTATTTTTTATATCTAAGGAATAGATATCAGTTTCTAGACATGCTGTAACTGAAAGAAAATGATAGGGATCCTTATGAAAATTGAAATGTGCATTTCTGTTCAGAAAGTCAAGCCAGTAAAATAAAGTGAACTCACCCCAGATCTTTGACTTCAGAGTGATAGAATTGTGTGTTTGTTCACACTGACGTGAAAACCAGATTCATTTGTTTATTGTTTAATTTTTCATTTGTTGTCAAAACAGAATAGATTGTAATTGCTCTAACAATTTTAAATATTTTATTATGATCAGAATGAATATTTGTTTTGACTCCAAACAATTTCAAGCTATTGAACATTGATATTCCATTAAGCCCCGTCTTCTTTTATGTTCCTTTATGTGTTGCCCAGTATTGAAATCTAAAAGCGTAAAGCAACCCGTGGAACCATATTATTTCACCAGAGGGCGCCAGTGAAGTGTCAGATGGAATTTTGGAACTAATGGAAGCTTACTAATGAAATATAATTTAACATTATTTGTGTGCCTTATGAACGGTGTTAAATACTGTATATTCTATTTAGTTGATCCCAGCTTCTGACTTCCCTGATCAACTGATAGATCAAGTGATCTTTCTATAACACCACTATAATAAAGGTTACGTTCAAAATATAGGCACTCATGCTCACTGAAGTGTGGTTCCCTTCTAGAGGGTGGGTATTGAAAGGTATCTAAAAGTGAGTAGGTGAGGATTTCCATATGTACCTTTCTGACAGCAGATTCTATAACAAAGGCTGCAGGCGCTCTTCGCCTTGCACGGTGGGTGACAGCCTGGTGGGGGCAGTATTGAGCTGTGCTCTGAATCAGCTTATGTCTGGTGGTGATGTCAGTGGCTGCCTGAACCATGAACTCTCTGCAGTGGTGTGTGAGCTGTCAACCATGGGAAACGGGAGTGGGCCACCTTTTTACACTCAGATTCTGACTGCTTGCTCCTTGTCACATCCTTGTATTAAAAGAGAAATTGTGTTGGACAGGTATTTTGCTGAGGACAGGAGACAAAGCCAGAGACGTATGGGAAATGTCAATAACACAATTACACACCATTTTTTATACTTCTTAATATTGATTCCTTGTATTTATATAGAGAGTGTCATCTCGAAGCATGTCACAAATGGAACAGAACCTACTCCTCCTGCCTCTGAGGTGCATCTCCCCCCATGGTGGTGAGTGGCAGCCATTCTTCACCAGCAGAGGACTGGGGGGGAGAGTAAAAATGACTTCACCTATTCACTCAGCCAGAATACAAGGGTTAACCCCCCTGCTCTTTCAAAAACTACCGTGAGATTTTCAATGATGGAGTTGTCAGAATCTCAGTTTATGATCTCGGCTTAAGAATGGCACCTTCTAGCACACAGTGGCCTCAGTAAACTGACCCCAGGAAGAGGAAATTGATTACACAGATTTTGGCCGTGTATATCTCCCCCTTTCACCAACCAATGATGACTACTATCCTTCAGTTCACTGGAGTTTACATAAATTCATATGTTCTGACAATGCAGCTTGGTAACAGTATGCAATTTTTTCCTTTATGACAGCTGTGATATAATTTTCTTTTTCATTAAATATATTGTGCTCTGCAGAAATCAACTCATTTTATTGCTGACAGTTTAAAATGCAACCCGATGGCCTGTCAAGATCATGTCAGTGAAACCTGGATCAGAAGCCCTTTCCTGAGGGCGAGAGGCAGAAAATCAATGTAAATCACAAATGTAGGTAGTTGCCTGACCTCTGCTATTGCCAGCCCTTGGTAGATAATCAAACATCAGTTCCAGTGGGGACTGGTAACCAGCTTTTGGTTATTAAATGTAAAAATAACTAGGCATTAAAGAGAATGTGCTAGACCAGGGTTGAGGATAGGTCTCAATATGGGTGCTTCAGATTAAGAGTATGGATGTGATGAGCAGTACGATGTGAATGCAACATTGAGAGATTTGGAAACTAAATACATTCCAAGTCAACTTCAGGATTGTTACAGTAGAGTGGGTTTCTGACATTAGGACTGTTACTGGAAATGGAATGAACAGCAGTCCACACGTGAGCAAACACTTCACTTAGGGGCCCTGTGACAGGCTAGTCTTTTACACATCACGTGGATTGTTAATAGACTGATGTGGTCATTGCGAGGAGGATGTAGTTATATTTGGATTTGATACTGAAAGAGTGTGGGTTTCTACTCCATCCACAGATCTGTTCTTTAAAATTTGATAAGGAAGTTCACCTAGAAGGTCAGAGGTCACAGCAGTGGTATCCTGTTCACATATTCAGAAGTGCTCCTCGTGAGGACCTTACCTTCTACAACAATAGGAGCTCCAGCTTCCACCTTCCTGCTTTCTCCCTGCTGGGATCCGACGTCCACTACCCACATATCCTGTTTGGAGACATGCAAACCCCCTGTTTGGAAGCTGCTAACGCCCACACCAGAGACCTGAAACTCACATGAATGAACACAAAAACATGCTCAGTGGCACAGCTGGACTATGGATTTGAGCTGAAGATAATGCTCAAATCTCTACCTGGAAGTCAAGAGTGTGTAAGCACACTTAAAACCCCAAATCTACCAGTGCTTGTCTTGCTTACAACAGTTTACAGAAAGCGTTATCTCACGTGAAAAGGCACTACATATATGGAGCTGTTGATTTTGCAAATGTATTAAACGTGGGAACCTAACACTTTCTTGCAAGGAGACATTTTCACTTCTGTAGCTACTGTATAATTCTGCAATTCCCAGACTTCTGCCTCATCCTTCTTCTAAAGTCAAGGGAAGGGAAAGAACTTCGGCAACCCAGTAAAATCAATTGAATTTCTTTTTTTTTAATTTGGGTTACATATTTTTAATTTTCTGCAAACTACAAAAATATCTGGTAATTTTATGTACTAAAGTCAGTTTTAAACAGGAATTAAATCCTTCAAAATCTGGGTTGTGGGAAATGTCAATTTTGCCATGTTGATTTTGTGTGTGGGGGGGGACACTAAATGGTGTAGGACCTCTCAAATTCCTCTACAAATACAAACAATAAGCTGCACACATTGGTGTGCCTCTTGTTCACTTGAATCCAGAAATGGATTTGTTTCCTTGTGTAAGAAGTTGAACCTAAACAGCAAGCCTTACTCATCCTGTCATGCACAGGCAGAGGTAATTTTAGAAGAACGAACATCCTATTCTTTTAAAATATCCTATTCTAAATGTCCTAGTCATCAAGTAAGAAGAAGATGTAATCATTGTGTTAGGTCAGGAGCTGGGAACATTGTTTACACATGAGCATTTCTCTGAAGGTTTTTGGCATCTTGGGAAACTTACTTCTGAAATACTGTGCTCCATTGTGACCCAGCTATAGGAATGTACTTAAAAATGAGTCATTGTAAATCAGTCACACACTAGCCTTTTTTAATGTGATCTTTGGGGAATTCTCTTTATCATACTTGCCTTGATGTTTTGCTTTGTACATCACAGCAAAATCTAGAAGAAGGAGGTGAAGGACTTCCAGCACAGCCAGCATAGCTAGGGGTACTAAGCAAACACTTGGTCAGCATAGCCAACTACTGTAGCTGTTCTGCTGAGAGGTAACTAGAAGTCTTCGTGTATCAACTGAGAGCCAAAAAGTGACCTTTAGGTGATACAACAGCTATCTTTAGTCTTCGCTGTAGTACCACATTTTCCCCAGATTTTTACAGTGCGAGTACAGCTTAATCACTTTGAAGTTTCAAAAGCAATATTTCTGTGAATTAAAAGTAGCCAATCTTTTTCACAGCTAAGCTACTACAGTAGCTGTAACAGGTGCAGTAAGTAGTATTCACTATAATCAAATAAGTATGAATCGCATAGAACTCAACAACAGTTTTAATTAATACATTGTACAATATACATAAATGTGCAAGATTTATATCTCAATGATGATGAATGGTTATGAATAAAAATACAGCTTTTGTGGATTGAAGGCGACAATTACACAAGTATATTCTACCACTGTACATGCAAAATATTAATGAACGTTGTTCAATGTGAACTTAAATGTTTTTCAAATTCACATTTCACCTAATTATTCAATAACTGTAACCAATTATGACAGTCATTATAATTATTCAATCCTGAAGAACTACATATAACCTGCTGAAGAGAAAGAATTAGAACCTGAGTAAAAGAGTAAAAGTAATCAAATATCTTTAAAAAATATGAAAATGGAAATAGTAGGAACACTTGGCATTTCAAGGGATTTTGTTCATTGAATAAATTTTAAAATGTTAGAAATACAAGTCAAGCTCTCCATAGTCATGTCAAATTGTGCTAGGGGGGCTTTTACCTACATAAAAGAATCTGAAGGTTCTGGAATTAGCCTATGTGACAAATAAAGACACTTTTAAAATACTGAAAAGCTGCAATGACACAGATCTTGTCGAAAAACAACTATTTAAACAATACTTTAAGATAAACCAAAAGGTCTCTTAGAGAAAAGCTTTGAAAAGCAGCATGACAGTGTTAAGATTGGTCTTCCATTAATCTTAGAAACAGGTTGTCTCTGTAAATCTTTGAAATCACATTGAGTTCTATGTTTTGCATCGATGCCTGGAATCTTGTTGCTCATTGTACCTGAAGCAGTGTGGTTTTTTTTCAATAGACAGTAAATCAATTTTACCCTTGTTTTTACAGACCCTTTGTTAATCTAGTCTTTACTCTTTGAAAGTCAGGATCTGTCAGGCGGTCGATAAGTTGCTGCAGATCATGGATGAAGGAAAAATAACTTTGCCTAGGCTTTGTCAAATAAGAAAAATTAGAAACTGAATCCCTACTAGCTTTGGTAATACAGTGTCACTTTAAGGAGGCGGGAATATTACAACTGAAAACTGTAATTACACATCACCTGCTTTTCTAAACTGTTTATTATAATAGGCCTTACAAACACTGTTAAAAATAACATCTGTAGACCTGCTTCTCAGCTTTGGTCCATGTGTCTGCTAGTTTTTGTTGCAACTTTTTATCACTCATATAGAGTGCATATGGAATAATTTATTAAAATTAAGGAGTCAATGCAATACCATATTATCTTTTACCTACTTCCACTGTTTGTGAAGTGTGTTTGTGAAGCTGGCTGTGGGTATAATTAAGATGGCTAGTGGACCCATT